TAGGTCTATATATATCATATATATATATATATATATATATATATATATGTGTGTGGGGGGGGTGTGTGTGTGTGTGTGTGCGTGCGTGCGTGTATATTGCCTTCGTCCGGGCAATTATCCTATTAAAAAATGAATATGATAATGTTTGGCATTTATACCTCGAACCATCTCAAACTACCTATGCACTTTCCTCTTCGACTACCCTCTCACGCTTTACAGACCGGCCAATTTCAGTTGATTGCAGGCATCTTATGTGGCTGTAATTACGTGACGATTTTGGTTAGTGGATGTAAAACAATTAGGTGATTAATAAATGTTTCGGCAAATATCGTAAGAATTGCCGAATTTATCATTTAAAGTCTTAGTTACTTAAACATTTAAATTTTTTAAATTTTTATTAATTTCTATTAGGCCCCTTATATAATTTTCATTTCAGTTGGTCTTTTGGCGCTGTAGTTATTGCACAGTACATTGACTTATTCATTTTATGTGCATACGTATACAAGTATGAAGATTTCAAAGGTAGGATGTAGAGTAATGTGACACGATGGTTTTTACCATTTATTTTTTCAATAGAATGTTATCTAATAAACATGTTTTCAACTTGTTAAGTGAGTATAACTATGTTAAATCCCCACAATAAAATATAGTTTCTCATTTCAATAGCAACTTTCCAAAATGTGTTTCGTGTGCTCCCGAAGAACAATATTTGATTTGCTGAATGTTCGTCGCCATAGATAAACGCAGCCCGCAGTCCTTAATACTCACTAAACTACATCTTAAGTTAACTACTTTAGTTTCATGGTTGTCCTTCCAGCTTATGTTGGCTGCCGTCCTCAGTAGATTAGTGAGGTACATATTTGTGAATAGACCTACTTAGCTTGAGAAACCGACGGACTATTGCCATTGTGGTTTTATAATTTCAATGAACACCCCAACAAAGAATATCTGTCCATCCTAGAGTATCGCATGACCACTCCGGCACTTTAAAGTATTCTCATGCTTTAGTTGTTCTAAACATGGAGGAAATAAATTAATTCTGATTTAGTGTTTCTGGCTACATTTTATTTCAACCCGTGCGAAAATCTTTAACATAATTATTCTGTAGCTTAATTATTCATATCGTGTGCAGGATGGACTACAGAATCGTTGGACGATTGGTACGAGTTTTCAGTTATTGGCATTAATGGCTGCTTAATGATTGAGCTGGAAATTATAATATTTGAGGCCGGATATCTGTTTTGTGGTATGAACATTTTTTTAGATATTCTTGTTTTGATTTTTAAATATTATTAACAAATTTATGCCAAATTTTAATTCATTTTTGGTAAGGGGGCCATCCATAATTATCAACATTTTCAAAAGAGTACAAAACATATACTTTAGGGGGAGGGGGTTGAAAGTGTAGGCATAAGTACTCTTTTATGAAAAACATAAAATGTTGATCTCAAAATGACACAAATCAACATTTTATTGTGTACTCTTTCGGGGGGAGGGAGGGGGTAACAGAAAAGAGTGTGTTTTGTACTCTTTTGAAATTTTGATAATTATGGATGACCCCTAATTAGGTATGATTTCGTGTATTTTCAGGTACTATAGATGATCTGGCTATGGATGTTTTTGGAGCTGTATATATCATACTTTTCTATACCTTCATGGTAAGAATAAATGTTAGTTTAATGTTACAATTCCAACATTATATTTCAATTACATTATTTTTAACTTTTGAGTAACAATTAACAATAGTTAAACTGTGAAATTTCTAAATTGTATTTTAGCCGAATGCTGTAATTTTTTTAAATATATATAACTGTGTTCATTGAGTTGATAGGGACAGATATTGTTTAGAGTAGATTTTTTTTTTTAAATTATGACGGGAATAAATCAATTCAGAGTAATAATTACAGATTTGTTCAGGACTCTCAGCAGCCTTAGCCATTCGAATTGGCCAAAGTTTAGGTAAAAATGATCCCGATACGGCTAAAGTGTCTGTGCAAGTGGCATTTGTATCGTGCTGTAAGTATAGTCCTCTATTTTATTCAAACAAATATTAGGCTTATGTAAGATAGGAGTGTCTACAGTTATCTAGGCTTCCTTTTGTACAGTTATTTGGTCATATTTCATATTAATGGAAATTTTAAAACGTCCCCGAGACACAAGAATGTGCGTAGCAATCGAATAACAGATTTGGAACGGAGTGCTTATGTTGGTTATGTAAAACGGTTTGGTGGAATACAAAAAAAACCCCCCAAAAACACCTATATCTCCCATTTGAGACGAGACTGAGTGCTGCAATCCGTACC